AGTTACTATAATCTCGACCTCTTCAAGTCTCCGGTTAACCATTTATCTTTTTTGCATAACCCCATGAACTGCTCTTTCTAACAAGTACAACATTTAAATATCTGGGAAGAGCTGCTGTCGTCTTTGAAACTGGAATGGTTTTAGACATAAATTCCCGCTCACAAGCCTTCTTAGCAATCTATCCAAAAGACCTAGCACTTTGGTCATCTTCCGCATAGTTCTTTGTGGATTTATCTTTAAGCTCTTCTTGGCTTCCATGAGCCTCTTGACACGAACTGAACGATTTCTTTTTGGAATTGGATTTGGTCAGGTTGTTTAATTCCCTTTAAACTTTGTCTACACATTAAAAACAGTTTCTCTGCAAACTCATTTCACAATGCTTCAGATTGCAGCCATTTTCAATGTAACAAGTTGATCACGTTTTGTTTAAGTTGGCATACGTAATTAAATTCTGAACAATAAAGGAAAGAATCTTAGGAAGACTTATGGAAAATCTAAATCTATTTTTACGAATACGTTTGTTTCAATTCATGTTTAAATAATGGGTAAATATTTTTAACGGTTAAACTATTTTGATGGGTAAACTATTTTGATGGGTAAACTATTTTTACAAATAGGTATGTTTCAATTCATGTGTAAATATGGGTAAAACAATTAAATAGGCAAAAAATTTTAATGGGTAAATTATTTTTACGAATATACTTCAATTCACCATTAAATAATGGATAAATATTTTTTAATGGGTGAACTATTTTAGTGGTTAAACAATTTTAATGAGTAAACAATTTTTATGAATAATTGTTTTAATACACGTTTAAATAATGGGTAAATGTTTTTAATGGGTAAACTGTTTTGACGGGTAAACTATTTTAATGGGTAAACTATTTTTTACGAATAGGTATGGTTTAATTCTCGTTTAAATAATGGGTAAATATTTTCAATAGATAAACCACTTTAATGTGTAAACCATTTTAATGGGTAAACTATTTTTTACGAATAGTTATGCTTCAGTTTAAATTCATTAAACTAAATACTGGTAAGCCTGATATGGCAGCAATATTCTGTTTTTGGTCGGGTCTGACAGCTGTGCAGACAGTGCATATCAGAAGCGATCAGGTACTTTCTGCAACGTTCCAAGGAACTGGCCATTTTCCCAGCATGTTTAGCGAGGGATAATATATATATATATTTCACTTGAAGTCTGGAATTAGATTGAGTCCCAATGAACGTTCCAGTGATGACGTATCATTTAAAGTGAAACTGTTCTTCATTAGTGGAGAAAATTTGGAATCTGTCCGGTGAGAAGGAATCGTGGCTAGCTTGGTTTTGAACGTATGCAAGTATTTTGAATATCTCAAAAACTCGTTGCATCGCCTTGGGGAAATTTATCAACCAATCAAAATGAACCTTATTGCGCATGAGTGAAGTGACGTTCCCGCGTAAAGATACTTGACTTTCACGGAGATGTCATTGCGTGAGCGTGTATATACTGTATGATTGTAACAGTCATCGTGATTGATTATATGAGATTCTTATGTTTGGAATCAGGGTGGCTTTCCGCTACGCCTATGACATATATGTTTTGTTCTGTTCCACAGTAAAGTACGTCTATTATTTTACTTTCTCTTTGGGTGTCCTCTTTTAGGTACGTTTTAGATTAGACACCATTTTTACCACTTCCTGTTTGTTCTTAGTAATCCCCAGAACCGGCACAATAAACCACGGCCTGAAACACGCAGTTCTTATTTCTCTTATTCTCCTAAATCTTTTTAACAATAGCATCGCCGGTATGTAATCTTTAAAATGTTTTCTCTCTGCATTGACCCCTTTTAATATATTATTATTTTTTGAATATCTGTTTAAAGTTGCCACGTTTGTAAAACATTTATTTTGCTATTGTGTCTCTTCACGTAGAATCCCTTTCACCACGTGTTAGCTTACAACCCCATGTAACTTTCTTCCTTTCTGGGAACCTATAGTTGCAAACATTATACATATTTAAGTTTATTTGTTGCTCAAAATAATCTAATCTCATACTTATATTTCTTTAAATAGTTTTAGCCTTTTGGTCTTTAAAAAACAGCCGTTGAACAGGACTTTATTTTCACGTTCTTAATTGCCAAAGTTCGTAATAAGCAATAACAAGTAAAAGAAAAGAATACAGCAAAAAATAATATAAGGCAAATTAACAGTATTAAGGCAAAGCAACAATAATAAGGCAAAAATATATTAACCTAAAAATTTGAGCCATGCTCTTAAATAGCCACATATACAAAACCGAAACAGGCACTTCATTCTCTTTGTATACCATTGGTAAGGAAGAAGTGCCATTTGATATATATTTCTTATATAATGGTCACTGCTTTATAGGACATGAATTACGACTAGATTGGCAACTATGTTACACTATTTTACTGCTGAACAAGCTAGAAGCAAACACCACAAGAGGGAGTGGCCATGGTTTAATGTAAAAAAAATCACAGAAGTGCCCAACAAACAGAATTGACAAAGTTTTCAATAAACAATAAAAAGAAAAAAACAGGGACCAAAATAATATAAAACAAGTAAACAATATATCTAAGGCAAATTAACAGTAATAAGGCAAAGTAACAGTAACATGGAAAAAAAAGTTAACAAACTAAAAATTTGGGTAGCGAATTCGGATATGCGAACGTAGTGTTCTGACTTCAAAGCAAGACAGAACGGGACTGAGTCAGATGACACCAAGGACTGGCTTATCTTATTGGCTAGGAAGGAAAGAAGAAAGATAATGATTAACGCTTAACTTAAAGGAGTTAAAATTGAAGCAGTAAAGCACTCACGCGGGCAAACTGTTTCATACAAAGTCACACTTCATGGTAGCTGGTGGGGTAGCTTTCTGGGTGAAACTTTCTTCCTACAATTGGAACACGGGGGAAATGATGATGAGTTGACTCCGTGGGAATGGGATCGTTTGTCCGAGCTTGTGGAATGGGCAGCCATGGTCATATGCAAAATAAGGAACAGAACTGCCCAACAAGCGGAATTGACAAAGTTTGCAATAAGCAATAAAAAGAAAAAGAACAGGGCAAAAAATATTGTAAACTAAGCAAACAATATATGTAAGGCAAATTAACAGTAATAAGGCAAATCATATGGCGAAAAGTTCACAAACTTAGAATTGGGGTTGACACACAACAGCAAGTTCGGATAAGCCAATGTAGCGTTCTGAATTCAAGAGAAGACAAATCGGGACTGAGAACCGATCTATTATAGTACTTTTTAAATTTATTTCGTGAAGACTATATGTTGAGATGTTGTGAGTTTCCCGCGTGTCGGTGTATGAATCAAGACGAACACAGTTGTAGAGGAAAATACTGGTATATTTGTAAAAGCAGTTAACAATAGAGTGATTAGTAGAAAGAAGATTGGTTAGTACGAAACAATATCCAAAGTCTATAGTCCAACGGTATGTAACGGGTAAACTTATCTGGACTGCTGACGCTGACGCTCTGTCTCTCGATCCCTCGTCCTCTCTCTAGAGCTGACTTATATAAGAGGGACCAGTCCATTTCTAGTTAGAAGGTGGGTGCGCCCCAACACTATAGGAAAAGAAAAACAAGTTAAATTCAAATTATTATTGTTTCACAGATATTAGTGTGTGTGTTTGTGTGTGTGTGTGTGTACAGATAGAGTGGCCATTGTTAAATGTATTTAAATGACAAGTGCCCAACAAGCAGAATTCAAAAAGTTTGCAATAAGCACTAACAAGAGAAAGAAAAGAACAGGGCAAAAAATAACACAAAGCAAGCAAACAATATATCTAAGGCAAATTAACACTAATAAGGCGAAACAAAAGTAATAAGGCAAATTAACACTAATAAGGCGAAACAACAGTAATATCGTAAAAAGCTCACAGGCTAAGAATTGGGGTTGACACACAAAAGCAAGTTCGGATAAGCGAACGTAGCCCTCTAAATTCAAGGCAAATCAGAACCGGACTAAGTCGTATGACACCGAGAACGGGCCTGTTTGATTGACTAGGAAAAAAACCCAATATTCACGTCCGAGAAATTTTATAGAAAATATGCGTCCTCCGACAGAGATCAAATCTTTATCATACGCGGAACCGTCATATATCCTGACGTGTTATACTATTTAGCTACAGAGGAAGCGTCTGGTTCGCAAGGTCAAATGAATATTTTTAAAACACAAATTTCCCATGATTTTTATTTATCTATTTCAGGATATTCATATCTATCTATCTATCTATCTATCTATCTATCTATCTATCTATCTATCTATCTATTTTTCTTCGTGTCTATCGATCTATCTCAATCTGTTCCTATCTCTATCTATCTCTCTTTTTTCTTCGTATCTATCTATCTATCTATCTATCTATCTATCTATCTATCTATCTATCTATTTCAATCTGTTCCTATCTCTATTTATCTCTCTTTTTTCTTCGTATCTATCTATCTATCTATCTATCTATCTATCTATCTATCTCATTCTGTTCCTATCTCTATCCATCTCTCTTTTTTCTTCGTATCTATCTATCTATCTATCTATCTATCTATCTATCTATCTATCAGAGAGGTGGAGTTGAGAAAAAGTAGAGAGATTGGAAGTTAGTTTGGCAAGTAAGTGAGAGAGAAATACTTTTAAAGATGAGAAAAGAAGAAAAAGAAAGAATATTGTCTTCAAAAGTAGACAACAACATGTCCAACGGAAGTCGTTGCTGCAAAAACACACGTCGACAATCGCAGAAGTTGAATTCCTTCCTTAAAGGAGAAACAAAAATTCAAGAAAAACTAATCAATGAAAGGGAATCAAAGAATTTATTCATTTTTTTGGTTTCTTGTAGGAATTGCTATATTTTCTACTTTCTTTTTATTTCCTAAATATCTTTATGGATTTATCTAATTTAAGATAAAGCTTAGTTGCGGCGACCTTACGATCATGAAACTGCTCGGAAAAGTTTGTTTAGATTAAACAAGGGTCGTTAAAAATCAAAAGAATTACGGAAGAAAGGAGGGAAGGAAAGGAGGAAGGGGAGGGGAGGAAGGGAGGAACGAAAGGAAGGAAGGAATGGAGGAAGGAAGGAGAGGAAGGAAGGACGGGAGGGAGGGTGTTGAGGAAGTGAAAGGAAGGAAGGAAGGAAGGAAGGAAGGAAAGGAGGGAGAAAGGCAGTGAGAAAGGAAGGAAGGAAGAAGGGTAGGGAGGAAGGAAGGAAGGGGGAGAGAAAGAAAGGAAGAAAGGAAGGGAAAGAGGAATGAAAGAAGGAAGGAAGGGATGGAGGAATGAAGGAAGGAATGAATGAATGAATGATGGAAGGAAGGAAGGAAGGAAGGAAGGAAGGAATGGAGGAAGGAAGGAGAGGAAGGAAGGACGGGAGGGAGGGTGTTGAGGAAGTGAAAAGAAGGAAGGAAGGAAGGAAGGAAGGAAGGAAGGAAGGAAAGGAGGGAGAAAGGCAGTGAGAAAGGAAGGAAGGAAGAAGGGTAGGAAGGAAGGAAGGAAGGGGGAGAGAAAGAAAGGAAGAAAGGAAGGGAAAGAGGAATGAAAGAAGGAAGGAAGGGATGGAGGAATGAAGGAAGGAATGAATGAATGAATGATGGAAGGAAGGAAGGAAGGAAGGGAGGGAGGGGGAGAGAAAGAAAGGAAGAAAGGAAGGGAAGGAGGAATGAAAGAAGGAAGGAAGGGAGGAAGAAAGGAAGGAATGAAGGAAGGAAGGGGGGTAGAAATTCAGAGGGACGGAAGAAAAATCGTGATGTTGAAGAAAGCGTAAAGGTGGGATGAAAAGGCAATGTGTGGCTGAAAACGGAGCTGACAGAAGGTAAAATGAATGGCAAAAAGAAAAGAGGGGTAAGCGAAAGAAAGAAGGAAAGCTAAAATTAAAAAAAGAACTGAAATCTGAGAATGAAAGACGAGAAAAGAAAGAAAGAAACGAAAACAAAGGAAAAATAAGAAAGAATGAACAAGGAAAATATTACTGAAAATAAAAAAGAGAAAGAAAGAAAAAAGAAAGAGAAAGAAAGAAAGAAACAAGAATGAAGCAACAACTTCAGAGAAAAAAGTTAAAAAAAAGAACACCAATAAAAAAGAAACAATGGAAAATAATATAATTTAAAAAGGAGCGTTAACTTAATAGAAAGAATGAATTGTAAATAAATAAAGGAAGATAAGAGAAAAAGAATGAAGGAATGAATAGAAAGTGACAGAAAGAGAGAAAGTAACAGAGAAAGACAAAAAGGAAGAAAGAAAAAAAAGAATAAATGAATAAAAAGAGGTGTAAAGAGAGAAAACAAGAAAGAAAGCAAGACAAAAAGAAAGAAAGCAATAAGAATGAATGAATGAACGAATGAATAAAAAGAGAGAAAACAAGCAAGAAATGAAGAAAGATAAAAAGGAAAATCAGAGAAAAAAGAATGAAAGAATGAATAAAAAGAGAGGTAGGGAGAGAAAAAAGAAAGAAAGGAAGAAAGAAAAAGAAAGAAAAGAAAGAATGAATGAATGAAAAGAGCGGTAGGAGAGAAAAAGAAAGAAAAAGAAAGAAAGGAAGAAAGAAAAAAGAAAGAAAGAAAAGAATGAATGAATAAAAGAGCGGTAGGGAGAGAAAAAAGAAAGAAAGGAAGAAAGAAAAAGAAAGAAAGAAAGAATGAATGAATAAAAAGAGCGGTAGGGAGAGAAAAAAGAAAGAAAGGAAGAAAGAAAAAGAAAGAAAGAAAGAATGAATGAATGAATGAAAAGAGCGGTAGGGAGAGAAAAAAGAAAGAAAGGAAGAAAGAAAAAGAAAGAAAGAATGAATGAATGAAAAGAGCGGTAGGGAGAGAAAAAAGAAAGAAAGGAAGAAAGAAAAAGAAAGAAAGAAAGAATGAATGAATAAAAAGAGCGGTAGGGAGAGAAAAAAGAAAGAAAGGAAGAAAGAAAAAGAAAGAAAGAAAGAAAGAATGAATGAATGAAAAGAGCGGTAGGGAGAGAAAAAGAAAGAAAGGAAGAAAGAAAGAAAAAGAAAGAAAGAAAGAATGAATGAATGAATGAAAAGAGCGGTAGGGAGAGAAAAAAGAAAGAAAGGAAGAAAGAAAAAGAAAGAAAGAATGAATGAATGAATGAAAAGAGCGGTAGGGAGAGAAAAAAGAAAGAAAGGAAGAAAGAAAAAGAAAGAAATAAATAAAGAAAGAATAAAAAGAGCTGTAAAGAATGAAAACAAGAAAGAAAGACAGAAAGAATGAATAAATGACTGTATAAAAAGAGTCGCAAAGAAAAGAGACCAAAAGGAAAAAATGAAAGAAAGAAAGCAAGAAAGCAAGAAAGAAAGAAAGAAAGAAAGAAAGAAAGGGGAAGATTGAAAGAGAAGAGAATGAATAATAATAGATGGACAAAAGAAAGAAAGAAAGAAAGAAAGCAAGAAAGAAAGCAAGAAAGAAAGAAAGAAAGATCCGTAGACAAATAAAAACCTAGAAAAAATGAATAAGAAAGAAAGAAGTTTTTAAAATAGGGAGGAAAACCAAAGAAAAGAATTAGACGTAAATAAATAGATGATTAAAGAAAGAATGAATGCAACTGAGGAGAAATATTATAACGAAAAAGGACGAAAGAGAAATTCGGAAAATATAGAGAGCGATGAAAAGACGAAGACCAAGAAACAAATTGAAAAGAGAAAGGCGAGGAAAATACAAAAGAAAAGATTAAAGAAGAAAACCCACGAGAAAGCAAAAATTTTATTTTCCTTTTTCTGTCTATTCGTCTGCTTCACTCATTCTCTTTAGACATCCTAACCCTACGACCATCAAGCCATCTTTTCTAATTAGTCAGTAATGGCGGTACAGGCAGTACCAGAGACGGCATCGTCAACTCTCATGGCGTAGGTGATGCTAGTAAAGATAATATTGGAGTTAAAAGGTGTATCTTTTATTCTTTATTTTGCAAAAGGTGGATGAAGATGGTAGCGAAGCCGAATTGAACTGAATATTCGAAAAATAAAGGTAGAAAACAAGTTGGAGAAATGCTTTTTTTGTGTGTGTTTTTGATTTAATTTCTTTCGTTCCAAAAGGAGATATACCGAATTTTATTCCTGCTTTGCTACATAAAATAAACGAAAAAAAAAATAGCTGTAATTTCAAGATTGAACAGAAAGTAAAACCAATGATAATCAGTAATACTTTTGTAACCAGAATACAGAAGCAGACATATTAGAAAGCTTCACTGGTAGAGTCATGGAGAGGTGAATTTACAACCTAATTTTTCCACTTGGTCGGTGGAGTACAAAAAATTGACAATGGATCTATACTGATAGTTTTAGAATTAACTATTTACACTATTCAATACATAGTATTTTATATATATATATATATATATATATATACGTATATATATATATATACATATCATTCGCAGAGAGTACTGTTTCGCAGCTCCTCAATGTGACTAGACAACCGAATGTCTCAACCGATTTGGTGTCAGTCTACCACTACGCGATCTTCACTCGACAGAACGAATAAGCCAAATCTAGTGTATTGTTTTTACATATATATGAATAAAAAGCGACAAGAGGAAAACCTATTCTTAGCCGACGCGTTTAGTCCTCTGAGGGACATTATCAAGGAAATGTAGGATTTATTTTGTTGCACGTGTTTATATACAAAGGTAAGGATATCATTGGTTTATTAAGGATTTTAAATTTATAGAACGTTCATGAATTTTCATCAAGTGGTCAATCAAACATATGGAGGACACAAAGTGTCATAATTGAAAGTCAGGCAAAAAGTAAAGTGATAATTCAATAATTATTTTTTTAAACGAATATTGTTTAGATTATGATTGATATGATATAAGATGGATGTGTGTGATGTACATCTTCAAATGTTATGGATTTAACCATTTTCTTTTGATTTTTCAACACATTTGTGGTTATGAGAATATATATATATATACAGGAAATACAAACCTGAATTTACTTTATAACATGGAAGACTTCAAGCTTATACGAAAATATAAGAATCTATTGATCTCCGCGTATTCCTATAAGAACAGAAAGGATTTCTTAATGAACTGTTTATATGAGAAAATCGTTCAATCGAGCTTATCTAATATTTTGAAATCATCTTCGAATACGTTTTCACAACATCGTCCACGTGACGACGACGTGATCATATTAAAACGAAACGCTGATCTTATAAAAAAAATTAGTTTGGATTTGGATTAGTTTACTCGTATGTCCATCGTCTTTTTCATGTGAATTGAATATAGGCTAATTTTAATTATGTTTTTGAATATGTCCTGAAGATGGTCTATTTGATCGAAACGTCCGACGTTGACATTATATTAATATTAAAACAGCATAATTGCATATTAGGATTTTTGTTTTGTTTTTCCGTATATTTGTCTTCATATATATATATATATATATATATATATATATATGAAAAAGGAGACATGGTAATATTTTTTTTTCGAGATCAAATCGATCTTGTCTCATCAGACCAAATAATTTGTTTGGTCTGATGAGACGAGATCGATTTGATCTCGCGAAATAAAATATTACAAAGATTTCTAAAGTATCTGTTTTCATTATTATTATTTGCTCTATTCTTACATTGAGCTCTTATTGGGATTTATATCCCTTTGGAATTATCCATATTAATTATCAAACTATATATATATATATATATATATATATATATATATATATATATATACATACATATATATATTTTATATATTTTTATAACATACTTATGTTATAATTTTTTATAACATACTTATGTTATAATTTTTTTATAAATAATAATTATATCTGCTCTACTTTGTACTGAGCACTCTTTTAAGAATAGTAATTGTTGGTTATTGGAATTCATTCCGTATATACCAATTATATACTTAGGTATATATATATATATATATATATATATATATATATATATATATATATATGATAGGGTTTCCAATGCTGATCTTCTCGCAAAATGCAACATTGATCGAACTGAGGCTTTCCTGATAGAGTCACAACATCGCTGGGTTGATTATGTTGCAAGGATGAGTGATGACAGTTTACCTAAGGTCTCCATGTTTAAACAGCTTCAGCGTGAACAAAGGACTGTTGGACGACCCCGGCTAAGATATAAACACAAGCTAAAAACAGCTTTTAATGTGCTTCATATAAACTTCGAGCGAGTTGCGCTGATAGAAATATTTAGAGTTATTTGTGTCAGTGTTGTATCAGAACCTAAGAAATCAGTCGTATTGAACGGCTAAAAGACGAAGATCAACGACAGAAAACTATCAGCCAATATTCATGTGGATATGTCCTGAGATCCTGGCTGTTGCACAATATGTGGACTTGTATTGCAGGTCATTATTTAGACTGAAATCATACGGCACAAACATAAAACTGATTGAGGTTATAAATATATATATATATATATATATATATATATATATATATGTATGTGTAGGTATGTATATGTATGTATGTATATATATGTATTTATATATTATATATATATATGTATATATACATGTCTGTATATTAACCATTTACATTATTGTTGTGTATGATACACCTAATTTACATAAGTGGAGTACCGACCATATAAATATGGGTTGGTACCGGAAGACGACGGAAGATTAAGAGATCGAATCCAGAGACTCTACCCGACTGCGACTTAGTCAACCCATTCTGCAGGAACAGTCTTCTCAAGAATATACCAAAACTACCTGTAAATATTGTGTACCTTTTTTCATTGTTTCAATACATTTTGTTACGTACATTTTGTGTTGTATTATTATTATTCCATGCTTATTCAAGCTTCAATTATATATATATATATATATATATATATATATATATATATATATTTATATATTTAGGCAGCAATTTTTCATTAATGCATGTTTCGTGACGTCCCAAGCTGCGATGCGATTTTCGCTTCCGCGTCTCGTATATACGAGTTTGTCGTCACTTGGAAATTTTCATTCAGCAAGGGCGGACTATCATTGTTTCGTCCGTGTGCTTTTTGATTTATTGAAATTGTCATCTTTGATAATGGCTTGTGTAAGACGAAACCTTAGATTGGATTTAAACATATATCAATATGGTGTTTTCCTTTCGTCTTTCAATGATAATGTTATTAAGCTTATCTGACAATATGAAAGGAACTTACTTAAAATAGACAAAACTTGTCTATATTATTTAATGAAACATGCATTTATATATATATATATATATATATATATATATATATATATATATATTCAGTTGTATGGCTATTAGTTTGTAACACTGGGTTTCACGCTTTTGCGATCATCAGACAAACTGGTTTATTTTTTCAAAAGGGGATCTATTTATGCTTATTTGTGTTTGATTATTTGTGTGTGGCGGAGGGGGAAATTTTCTTCTATGTTTGTTTGCGATGACACTCTCGCATACATAGACACACATATATACAGGTATATGCATTTTAATTCGTACAAACAAACCCATATAAATAATCTGAAGTTAGGCGCAGGTACACATCCATTTTAAAATTCAGGAACATTGTGTGTCGGTCAGTGTGTATGTGTGTCTCTGGGCACGTACATAAAGATAATTACTTTGTTCAAGTATCCCTCTGTCTTTGAATTTTTAGTTTAATTTTTAGTTTAATATATTGTCCATTTATGATCGGTACTGCTGACTGATATCATATTTCCTCAACACTACCCCATCACACTCCTCACCACAACCCTCCAGTCGACGAGTTAAGGCCACCATTTTCTTTGATTTTTCGCCGACGTTAATTCGGGCCAAATTTAATTTTCTCTTTTTTCAACTGAAACAATTCGCTAAGACATTTATACTGTACAGAATAAATTACTTACAATGGACATTTCAAAACAATAAGTTGAAATAAAGATGTGTTCATTGAAAAACAAGGCATAAAAGTCATTAGATATTTTTGAAAGATCATTTGTAAAATTAAAACAAGAAATTCATTGCGTATTATGCATGTTTCTAGCTTGATAGGGCTCAGATCTACGCATCCCGACTAACCACATTAATTTTATTTGATTCTTTTTTACTTTCTTTCTTTCTTTGTTGTTTGACTTCATTCTTACTTTCTTTTTTCTTTCTTCTTCATTATGAACGATATCAACGAAATGTATTTCGGTCAATATTTTGAGGCATTTAATTTTGGTTTCAGCTGAAGTCAAGAATGAAAATGACGCGCTACAAAAGATTTTTTGTTGCTTTGAAATAGACATATTTGATCGTTGACTCACCCCGGCTGAGCCCAATGCCACTGATATATATTTATATATATATATATATATATATATATATATATATATATATATATAGGCAGCATATGTTCATTTAAACATGTCTCATTGAATAATATAAGCATATTTTGTCTATTTATTTTTTATAATGATATAAAGAAATAAAGACCAACATTGTATATCAGTTTAAATGTCCTTTGGAATATTGTATCTCTGACAAAAATATTAAGTACAAATGTTGGTTTGACGACCACATTATCAAGACGTTTTACACTTCATTTGTCGGATACATGTTCTATTGC